GACACAGGAGGACACAGGAGACACAGGAGACACAGGAGACACAGGAGACACAGGGGACACAGGAGACACAGGGGACACAGGGGACACAGGAGACACAGGAGACACAGACACAGGAGACACAGGAGACACAGACACAGGGGACACAGGAGACACAGGGACACAGGAGACACAGGAGACACAGGAGACACAGGAGACACAGGAGACACATGAGACACTAATGGTCTAAACCAGAACTAAACCAAGACTAAACCAGGTCTGAGTTTGTACCTTCCGGCACTGACGTAGTCTTTCCGATGCTGCAGCAGGAAGTCTTTGAGTTTGGAGATGTTTGTGACCTTCAGAATAAAAGCACAGATGAGACCTAGAGAATAAAAGCCCAGATGTGTGGGCCCTTCAGAATAAAAGCCCAGATGTTTGGGTCCTTCAGAATAAAAGCCCAGATCTTTTGGCCCTTCAGAATAAAAGACCAGATGTTTTGGCCCTTCAGAATAAAAGCCCTCTGATCCACACTGGGCGTGTGTGTTCAGAGGAAACAGGAGCAGATTTATTTGGAAATAATTTCTGTAATTTTCATGTTTACTTTTGACATGTCCTGTTCCCGAAACCACTTCCTCATCAAACGGACGTGTAAAATCCATCTAAATCGGGCATGTCCAAACTATGGCCCGGGGGCCAAATGCGGCCCTCAGCCACATTTTTCTTGGCCCTCAGGCTTCCAGGTGAATTGGCCCAAATTACCTTGCATCAATTAAAAAATAATTTTTTACTGCAAGCTTTTTGAAAATCTACATTGATAAAGCTAATATTTAATATTTAGGATATTTTATTTTATATTTTAAGGATCTTAGCATGATTAAAGACTGATGGCTCATTCTAACTTGTTAAACATGCACAAATTTCAATTATTCCCTGTACTGAGCACCAGTCTACGGGCCTCGATCGGCCTCTGCTTCGTCTGTGTTTAGATATGTGGCCCTTGATGAAAAAAGTTTGGACACCCCTAATCTAAATAAACTCAAATAAAGGTAAATAAACTTGAATATACGTAAATAAATGTGCAAACACACAGTTACACAGAGACACAGAGACACACACAGAGACACACACAGAGACACACAGAGACACACACAGAGACAGACACAGAGACACACACAGAGACACACACAGAGACACACACAGAGACAGACACAGAGACACACACAGAGACACAGAGACAGACACAGAGACACACACAGAGACACACACAGAGACACACACAGAGACACACACAGAGACACACAGAGACACAGAGACACACACACAGAGACACACACAGAGACAGACACAGAGACACACACAGAGACACACAGAGACAGACACAGAGACACACACAGAGACACACACAGAGACACACACAGAGACACAGAGACAGACACAGAGACACACACAGAGACAGACACAGAGACACAGAGACAGACACAGAGACAGACACAGAGACACACACAGAGACACACACAGAGACACAGAGACAGACACAGAGACACACACAGAGACACACAGAGACACAGAGACACAGAGACACACACACAGAGACACACACAGAGACAGAGACACACACAGAGACACACACAGAGACACACACAGAGACAGACATAGAGACACACACAGAGACAGACACAGAGACACACACAGAGACACACAGACAGACAGAGACACACACAGAGACAGACACAGAGACAGACACAGAGACACACACAGAGACAGACACAGAGACACACACAGACACAGAGACACACACAGAGACACACACAGAGACAGACACAGAGACACACACAGACACAGACACAGAGACATAGAGACAGACACAGAGACACACACAGACACAGAGACAGTCACAGACACAGAGACATTGACAGAGACAGAGACAGAGGGGGGAGCAGCTTAGACCCGTCCACTCTCTGATCAGAACCCACTGTTCCATTTAAAAAGACTTTAGGACACTGTCCACGTTTCAATTAACAACAAATGTCACATGATTAAACGTGTCAAGTCTGTGTAAATGCGCCCCCTTTGGCCCAGTCCACCCAGTCCACCCAGTCCACCGAGTGCACCCGCCCAGTCCACCGAGTCCACCGAGTCCACCGAATCCACCCAGTCCACCGAATCCACCCAGTCCACCGAGTCCACCCAGTTCACCGAGTCCACCCGCCCTGTCCACCGAGTCCACCGAGTCCACCCGCCCAGTCCACCGAGTCCACCGAGTCCACCCTGTAAGCAGTTAGCAGAATAAGCTCCGTTAGCTCCGTTAGCTCTCACCACGTCTCTCGCTCGGGAACAGAAGCCGCTCTTGGTTCGGCCGCGGCGGAGGATTTCGTCTTTCCCGGAGCCGATCCCGATGGCCTTGTTCCGGGTCTTCACGGTCTTCACACTGGCCTTAAACAGCAGCGTGATGTCCATGGTCATGACGGGAGCTAACGGAGCTAACGGCGCTAGCATCCGCTGTAAACAAACGACACGTCGCCAGCGCACACGTCATCCGCCCGCGACCACATCTTCAAAACACAACAAATATCATAGGTCAAAATAAATAAATTAGAATTTCTCTTCACTACAAAATCATTTTTTAAAGAACATATTAAATATAATAAAATAATGGAATAGTGCGTCTCAAGAATCTCCAGGACACTAAACAAAATAAAACAGATGTAAAATGTCTTTTTTTCCATTTGTGACGTGTAACGAGCAGGAGAAACTTACACATTTGGCTTTGTTTAGGCGTGTTTAACTACAGTCGCATGTTGTACATTTACGTTTATGTCACAGTCTATGGTTTATGTATGTTTATCTACACGTAGATGTATGTTTATCTATATGTATGTTTATGTTTATATATGTTTATCTACACGTGTGTTTATGTATGTTTATCTACATGTATGTATATATTTTTGTACATATATTCATATGTATTTTTGTGTATGTGTAAGGGAGAGACCACTAGGTGGTGCTCTTGTACTTTGTTTTCATGATGAGATCTGTTACTGTTTTTTTTCTTCATGTAGAAGTGCGGCCGCCATAGCGGCAGCGTGAAGAGGCTGTGCAGTACGACCCCGGCCTCTTCTCGCTGCCCTCACACCATAACAGCGTACACACTGACAAGCACGGTTAAAATAATCATGGTTAAAATAATCACGGTTAAAACAATCTGTCAGCATCTTGGTCGATATTTTCAGTGTTGTGCAAGTTCACACTTTTCATGAACTAGTTCAAAGTTCAGTTCACACTTGTTCAAAGTGAATAGTTCACGTTCATAGTTCACAATTTTAATTTTAAACTAGTTCAAAGTTCAGTTAATTTTATATTTAGATGAGATCTGTAAATGAAAGGCTGCATTTATTTTTCAAACTGACTTCTAGTTTACAACAACTTTACAAGATCCACTGTTGGACAAGTGACTTTAAAACTGTAATGTTTTAATTATGACTTGTTATTGTCATTTCTAAGTCATTTGTTACATACATTAAAATGTAAAACATGACACGACTATTGCAGCACTTTTAATTTACTCTCACCAAAAGAACTGTTAAGATGCTGAACTTTTGCGCCGTATATGGACTGAACCAGGACTGAACCAGGTCTAAACCAGGACTAAACCAGAACTGAACCAGGTCTAAACCAGGACTAAACCAGGTCTATACCAGAACTGAACCAGGACTAAACCAGAACTGAACCAGGTCTAAACCAGGACTAAACCAGGTCTAAACCAGAACTGAAGCAGGACTAAACCAGAACTGAACCAGGTCTAAACCAGGACTAAACCAGGTCTAAATCAGGACTGAACCAGGTCTAAACCAGAACTGAACCAGGACTAAACCAGAACTGAACCAGGACTGAACCAGAACTGAACCAGGACTAAACCAGGTCTAAACCAGAACTGAACCAGGACTAAACCAGGACTAAACTAAACCAGGACTAAACCAAGACTAAACCAGGACCAAACCAGGACTAATCCTGGACTAGAACTTGGAATCTAGGACCGCCCCTGAGAGAACCCCGAGTGCGATCGGGCGTCAGCTGCGTTTAGTTCGGTGGAGCGTGGACTTCTGCGTCGGTCCTTTCGCTCAGGATCACGGTCTACGCGGGCGCAGCTCCGGCGTTTCACCGCTGCTGATATCGCGGTGATTTTAGCAAATTTGTATGAAGAAAAACGAAAAACCCACCATTTCAATCCAGGTTAAAAAAGCATTGTGACGCGCGTTACCGACATTTGTACCAAGTAAAATAATACGCGCGTGGAGCAGCACGTCCTGTGCGTGTAGATTTCAGAAAATAGGATCTATCCTATTTTTTGATGCTACACGAACGTCCCCGTCAAAATGCACAGAGAGCATGTATCTGTTGTTGTATTTGTGCATTTACCATCAGCACATTGTGCTCCCTGGGCAGTTGTGTATCATGTGAAAGAGCCCAGATCCACATACACTGTTAATTAGTGCTTTGAAATTTACTTTTGAAATCCTTGCGTTTGCCGTGGTCAGCCTGTACAGAAGGTAAATACAAGCAGCTAAACGCGCCCAGTCAAGTTTGATTGACTTTCCCATTGAGAGACACAAGAGCCCGTACGTTCCGCTAAAGCTGCCGGTGGAGTCGCCTTCGCGTTGACACGCGGCTGTGGTTTCGCGAGATGAAGTTCGAGCAGATCGTCACTCGTCAGGTGAAAACAAATTCGGAACGTTTAACTGAACCCCAACAGTGACGTACGTCGTTCATCACACATAATTTGAACAAATTCACGTTCAAGTTCTTGATTTACAAAAGTGTTGCATTCAGTTCAAAGTTCACTGAAAAATGAACGTGTTCAATGAACGCGTTCTTTTGAACTCGTTCATGCACAACACTGGATATTTGCCATCTGTAAGTTTATTGCACCAATATATTATATAAAACGTTCTGTTGAGGTTGGTCGTGTTCTGAGCGACAAGCACATTGGTTTGTTTGTTTTCTTGGCACTAGAATTTATGCTGGAGGTCCGGTGGAGTATTGTGTGATTTTGTGATTGTGTTGTAGAGACCGTTTACCTTTGGTTTGCGATGCAAAACTGTAACATTAAATATGATCACTTCCACTCTGTTGTTTCCACATGTCATCAGTGGAAGTGCAAATACAACTGAGATTACAACAACAATTACCAGTGTCTGTCAGACTACAGAGTTATTATACACACGAATGCATTTTATATTTACAGCTCGTGGAGACGTGGAGTACAGACGTACAGATGTGTTAGACATACAGATGTGTTAGACATACAGATGTGTTAGACATACAGACGTACAGATGTGTTAGACATACAGATGTGTTAGACATACAGACGTACAGATGTGTTAGACATACAGATGTGTTAGACATACAGACGTACAGACGTACAGATGTGTTAGACATACAGACGTACAGACGTGTTAGACGTACAGACGTACAGATGTGTTAGACGTACAGATGTGTTAGACATACAGACATACAGACGTACAGATGTGTTAGACATACAGACGTACAGACGTGTTAGACGTACAGACGTACAGATGTGTTAGACGTACAGACGTGTTAGACATACAGACGTACAGACGTGTTAGACGTACAGACGTACAGATGTGTTAGACATACAGATGTGTTAGACATACAGATGTGTTAGACATACAGATGTGTTAGACATACAGACGTACAGATGTGTTAGACATACAGATGTACAGATGTGTTAGACGTACAGACGTACAGACGTGTTAGACATACAGATGTGTTAGACATACAGACGTACAGATGTGTTAGACATACAGACGTACAGACGTGTTAGATGTACAGACGTACAGATGTGTTAGACATACAGACGTACAGACGTGTTAGACATACAGATGTGTTAGACATACAGACGTACAGACGTACAGATGTGTTAGACATACAGACGTACAGACGTACAGATGTGTTAGACATACAGACGTACAGACGTGTTAGACATACAGACGTACAGACGTACAGACGTGTTAGACATACAGATGTGTTAGACATACAGACGTACAGATGTGTTAGACATACAGACGTACAGGCGTACAGACGTACAGATGTGTTAGACATACAGACGTACAGATGTGTTAACAGTACAGACGTACAGACGTGTTAGACATACAGATGTGTTAGACATACAGACGTACAGACGTGTTAGACATACAGATGTGTTAGACATACAGACGTACAGACGTGCAGACGTGTTAGACGTACAGACGTACAGATGTGTTAGACGTACAGACGTACAGATGTGTTAGACGTACAGACGTGCAGATGTGTTAGACGTACAGACGTGTTAGACGTACAGATGTGTTAGACATACAGACATACAGACGTACAGACGTGTTAGACATACAGAGACGTGTTAGACATACAGACGTGCAGACGTGTTAGACATACAGACGTACAGATGTGTTAGACATACAGATGTGTTAGACATACAGACGTACAGACGTGTTAGACATACAGACGTGCAGACGTGTTAGACATACAGACGTACAGATGTGTTAGACATACAGACGTACAGACGTGTTAGACATACAGACGTGCAGACGTGTTAGACGTACAGATGTGTTAGACATACAGATGTGTTAGACATACAGACGTGTTAGACATACAGACGTACAGACGTGCAGACGTGTTAGACATACAGACGTGTTAGACATACAGACGTACAGATGTGTTAGACATACAGACGTGTTAGACATACAGACGTACAGACGTGCAGACGTGTTAGACATACAGACGTGTTAGACATACAGATGTGTTAGACATACAGACGTACAGACGTGTTAGACATACAGACGTACAGACGTGCAGACGTGTTAGACATACAGACGTACAGACGTGCAGACGTGTTAGACATACAGACATACAGACGTACAGACGTGTTAGACATACAGACGTACAGATGTGTTAGACATACAGACGTACAGACGTGTTAGACATACAGACGTGCAGACGTGTTAGACATACAGACGTACAGATGTGTTAGACATACAGATGTGTTAGACATACAGACGTACAGACGTGTTAGACATACAGACGTACAGATGTGTTAGACATACAGACGTACAGACGTGCAGACGTGTTAGACATACAGACGTACAGACGTGTTAGACATACAGATGTGTTAGACATACAGACGTACAGACGTGTTAGACATACAGACGTACAGATGTGTTAGACGTGTTAGACATACAGACGTGTTAGACATACAGACGTACAGACGTGCAGACGTGTTAGACATACAGATGTGTTAGACATACAGACGTACAGACGTGTTAGACATACAGACGTACAGACGTGTTAGACATACAGACGTACAGACGTGCAGACGTGTTAGACATACAGACGTGTTAGACATACAGACGTACAGACGTGTTAGACATACAGACGTACAGACGTACAGACGTGCAGACGTGTTAGACATACAGACGTACAGACGTGCAGACGTGTTAGACATACAGA